CTCATTATGCAGTTCAGGCTAGCCTTGAACTCACTTTGTAGCCCAGGCTGGTCTCGAACTCGCAACGATCCACCTGCCTCAGCCTCCCGAGTGCTGGGATTACAGGCGTGCGCCACCACGCCCGGCTCATTTCTAAAATAATAACCGCGCTAGGACTTGCACGTTAAGGCTGTGCAAATGTGTCTAAAACTAGTGGATGGGGTGTTCGGCGATTCCGTATCGAGCCATATTAAATACTTCGTAGTTACTGGTCAGACTGATTCCGCCGAGGCTCAGCTTGGTAAGATTCTTGGTTCTGTGATTATGAAGAAATTTTTAAAAAGTAATGATCGCCTCAGGAGAATGGGTACAAATCATTCATGTCACTGCAAAAACAAACACAGTACTGTGTCGGGTCGTGGGCTGCAAGTAATCTTACCTGAAGGACGTTCTGTTTAAACTGCTGCGGGTTTACACTAATGACGCATTCTAAGGTCCAGTAAAATTCTGAGTGGTATTAAAGGACACGTACTCCAGAGTCCATTGTGGGTTGTTCAATCATCCGCTTTCCAGCGAGTGAATGGAGGGAGGAGTTATTCGGAAACTCTGGTTCCAAGCTGAGAGAGATGATTATGCTTTAAAATAGCAAATGGGATTACGATCTCAAAACTTGGCTTTCCAGTACACCTGGATTTCGGATATTCGTATTTAGAAAAGATGAAAAATAGGACTGAGAAGCATAGCACTTGTCAGGCAGGTCACTGGGGGGAAACTGGTTAATGGATTGCAGACGGGCTGTGCAGAGAGGTTGAGACAGCTCCTTCTTCGGAGGCTGGCGGGGGTGAAAATGGAGCAGGGAACAGTACAGGCTGCCCAAAGGTAGGAAATCACTGCAGGATCTTTTTCGGTCTAGAGACTGGAAAAACTGACTCTTTAGGTTTGAATCCTTGGGTAGTATTCTTGTTTGCATTTTCAATTATTCAGTGATGTATTCTAAGGCAACCCCCGCCCCCGCCCCGATTTGCTCCCTAAAGGGAATTAAATCATTTAGCAAGGCAGTATATAACCAGACCATGCTAGTTATTGTTCACAGTGAGTACTGAGTTATCTTTTTTTTTTTTTTTTGTTTTTTTTTTTTTTTTGTTTTTCTCTGGTACCGGGAACCGAACTCACGACCTTGCGCTTGCCAGGCAGGCGCTTTTGCCGCTGAGCTAAATCCCCAGCCCCCCCCCTTTTTTTTTTTTTTTTTTGATACCAGGAATTGAACTCAGGACCTTGTGCTTGCCAGGCAGGCACTTATGCCACTGAGCTATATCCCCAGCCCTCCCTATTCTGAGTTAGCTTAAGATCATACAACTTTTGTGTCCCTCTTTTCTCTCCTCTCCTTTTCCCCTTCCTCTTCCCTTCCTCGCCTCATCTCTCCTGGACATTGAGCCCAGGACCTCAAAGTGAGCTATATTCCCAACTCATTTTATACACACACACACATTCATTTTATATTATTTTAAATTTTTGAGACAAAGTCGTCTTAAATTGTCCAAACTGGCCTTGAATTTGGAGTCCTACTGCCTAAGCCCCTGAATAGCTGAGATTTACCATTGTGCCCCAGCATGCCCAGTTTATACAATTTTTTTTTTTTTTTTTGAGACAGTTTTACTATGTAGTTCAAGCTGGTCTTGAACTTGGTGGAATCCTCCTGCCTCAGCTTTCCAAGTGCTATGATTACAGGAGTGTGCCACCATGCCTAGCTGTACAACTTTTTTTAAATGGTTGTTTAGGGCTGGGGATTTATCTCAGGGGCACAGTGCCTGCCTGGCAAGTGCAGGGTCATGAGTTTGATTCCCGGTACTGGGAAAAACAAACAAACAGACAAACAAAAAATGGTCATTTATTCTTTCAAAAGTACTTCTTGTTTTTTTGTTTTTTGGGGTTTTTTTTTTTTTTTTTTTTTTTGAGACACAGTCTCACTATGTAGTTCAGGCTGGCCTTTCACTACGTAGCTCAGGTTGGCCTCCAAATCACTGTGACCCTCCTGCCTCAGTCTCCCAAGTGCTGGGATTACAGATTAATGCCACCTTGCCCAGCCTTACCAGCAAACTCTTTAAAATCAAATAACAAGGGAGTAACAATAGCTATTATGCTGTCTATCATTATCTTGAAAGTCATTACTCAGAGTACAAGACATAAAGCAAAACGATTCCTACAAAAACGAAACAAACATATAAGATGAATCTTTTCTTTTTTTTTATACTGCCATTGGTAGAATTACTGGGAAGGTCCAGATGCTGAGTGTTATCCAGAAGGCGTTTCCGTAATGAAATGAGGCACTGACTTCTGCTTTGCTAGTCTGGCATTTAGGGGGAAAGGGGTGCGGTAAAAGGTAAATTAAGTGTAATGCTTGTTTTCAATTTTTTTTAACCATAAGGCCACTGAGAAGTTAGTCTGTTTAGTTCCTAAAAGTACTGTATTGCATTTAGTCTTGAGGCAGTGGTTGATGTAACAGGCAAATTTTTCTGCTTTTTAGTGAGGTGTTGGCAGAGGAGTCCATAGTATGTCTCCAGAAAGCTCTAAATCACCTTCGGGAAATATGGGAATCAATTGGAATTCCAGAGGACCAGCGCTTACAGAGAACCCAGGTTGTAAGGAAACACATCGAGGTGAGTTGAGCAGCTCTGGGCTCTGCGGTGGGGCGGGGTAGCCCTGTTGTGCAGTGTTGTGTTTCTTGAGGTAGCAGCCGCAGTGACACTGATCACCCTCACTAGGACATCATATACTCTCCTTGTTTTTAAGTTCTTTCTTGAAATTTTGAATTATGAGGGTTTTAGTGTTGATGTTGTTATTTTGTAAATGTTAAATTAAGTTGTATAAATTTATAGGCTATGAAGCTACCACTCCCATTGATCATGGGAGTTAGAAGTAAATCATGGATTATTAAAGTGATTTTTATTAGTAAGGTGATGTTCTTAGGATTATTAGGATGTTTTTTTGCAGGGAGGTTGAGACAGAGCCTGGCTATGTGGTTCAGGCTGGCCTTAAATTCAACTCTGTAACACAGGCTGGCCTGAAACACATGTCAATCCTCCTACCTCAGCTTCCTGAGTGCTGGTTTGAGAGGCATGTGCCACTACACCCAGTTTAGGGTGTTGCTTTTATATAAGCTACACATACCACTCTGTAGCTAACACAAAGCAAGCTTTCCAACCATTTACACATCACACAATAGTGCCCTGGTACCTACAGTAGTCAGATTCAAAGAAATCAAAAGCAGAATGGAGGCTGGCCTTGAACTTGAAGCCATCCTCCTGCCTCGGTTAGGTTACTGGGAAGTTTTTTTTTTTTTTTTTTTTTTGTGGTACCAGGAATCGAACTTGGGACCTTGCACTTGCCAAGCAGGCGCTTGTGCCACTGAGCTATATCCCCTGCCCTAGGTTACTGCGAATTTAACCCATGGCTTTCACACTGAGCTAGGAACCCAGCTAGCCATTTTAATTCTTTTTTAAAATTTTCTATTATTTACGTGATTAATATGAATGTTCCTATGAACATTATTTTGAGACGGGGTCTTGCTAAGTTGGTTAGTTATCTGGGCGGGGCTAGAACTTGCCATCTCCCTGCCCCAGCCTCCCAGAGTACAGGGATCACCCGGCGCGTGTGTGGCATGGTGTGTCACAGGGCTGGGAGCCTCTCAAACGCGGAATGTGGATCCTGTCAGTCACTCACTGCCTGTTGTTAGTTCAGAACACTGTAGGCTTGCAGGGGTGGGGTAGGGGATGGATAGTGGAGCCTTCTCTGGGGCCTGTGGAGTGCTGTAGGCTCTGGCTTGTCTACTCACTGCCATGTTTCCTATGCCCCAGGGTGCAGGATTGTACAATACCCTCTCTCTTGGACTGATTTCAGGGTCTCCTCTATCTCTATGGTTGGGGGCGGGAGGCGCAGATGCGTGGGGGGTGGGCAGGACACTTTTATAGGACTCACTTCCATGTGGCAGGGTGCAAGGGGCGGGTGGCGGTCTGCTGTGTGCACCTGTGCATGGTGCATGTGTGCATATCTGCATGTGTGTGTGGGTGCTGGCCTGCATGGTGTGTGTGGGGGGGGAATTTGTGGGTATTGTCTTTTCTTTCTGCTCAGTTTTGCTGTGCGCCTAAATGTGTTGTAACAAATACATACATGCATACGTACATACATCAGAGTGGCAGGGAGCGAGGGAGGAGGAGAAAGAAAGCAGCATAGTGGTTGCTATTTTTTTCTCCAGTGCCCAAACCCATGGATTGTTTTCTGTCCTGTAGAATCTCCTGAGTATGATGATTGCTGAAGAGGAGAGCCTGAAGGAAAGGCTCATCAAAAGCATATCCATCTGCCAAGAAGAGCTGAACACCCTGTGCAGTGAGTTACACATGGAGCCATTTCAGGTACGCACTGCAGACGGGGGGATCTGGCCCAGGTCTGAGACTTAGGAGGAAGCACTGGCTTGAGGCTGCATGAGGAAGGCTTCCTGGTGGGGGATGTTAGAGGTGAGAGATGGGGGATGGCTGCTTAATTCTGTCAAAGTAATTTCATGTGCATAGAAAGTTGCCCTGTTGGGGGGTGAAGCAGCAGATAGATGATGAAAACCAAGTTGCGTCTTACATTATTACTTTTTTAAAAAATAAACTCTTAGGAAAGTAGGCACAAAGAAGAAAAAAAAGATATTCACAGATGGCATTGCTGTTTCTTTGAAAAAAAATGAAAAGTGGAAGCAAAAACTAGTAACTAGTGATATAAGGCAAAGTTTCCCCAAACTCAGCTTTTATACCCAGAAGCTGCAAGCCTTGAAGCAACTAAATGCTGCTTTACAAGACATGTCTCACAGCTGAGTGTCAAGAGAACACAGTCCAATTTAGAGCAGGCCAGGATTATTCGTAGGTAGCTGAGGGATTGCTGTCTAGTGCAAGTTAATAGTGCTCTGGTACCTACAGCAGTCAAAAATTTTTTGGAGACAGGATCTCACTATGTAGTGCTGGCTAGCCTTGAACTCACATATATAGCCCAGGCTGGCCTCAGACTCCTAAGTGCTGGGATTACAGGCGTACACCACCGTGCCCAGCTAGTCAAATGTAAAGAGACAAATAACAGAATGGCTGGGAGTAGGGAAAAATTGGGACTTATTGTTAAATACATGGTTTATTTTATAAGATGAAATGAGTTCTGGAGAAGGATGGTGATGCTTGCATTAGCTACAGATGTTTCTCATCTTACTGGGTTAGGTCCCAGTAAACCCATTGAAAGTACAATGACCCCTCATCTATCACGAGAGTTATGTTCCAGAGACCCCCACAATAGGTAAAAATCCGCAAAGTAGTGGCGTTATATTTATTATTTATATATATTTTAAGGCTTTATAAACCCTTCCCACACTCCTATAAACCTTTCCCACTGTTTTATTAACCTTTCCCACATTCTTATGAACACTTCGTATGCTCTTAAACACTTTCTATACTCTTAAACCTACATACTTTTAACAACATGTAAAATTCTATATGGGTACTCACCAGTGAAATATACTGCAACTTGAATGATGAGGATCATGAATTATATAGCTGTGCAGTACTGATGGCTATGAAGGTGATGTCGAGATGAATGTACCGCACAGCCAAGAAGAGCAAGGAGAGATGCTTGAATGTATGGGCACAGTGTGGGAGAACAAACAGTTGATACTATGGTCACTGAGCCAATCAGTGCCCGGGATACAGAACACAGTGCTGTGGTTGGTTGCCTTCCATTCCATCAGCCAATAGCGTGCCATGTACAATCTCACATTGGCAAATTTGCGCAAACGGTAGGGAGGTACTGCATTTCCATTGTGTGCAGTATGGTATTCATCTGCTGATGAAATATATACTGTATTTTATTTTGACTTAATATTCTTTTAATATGTTTGAATTAACTTTTTGATATTGTTATAGTTTTAAATTTTTTAGGCAAAAATTAAAATCATAAATATTATATAAATACTTATATACTGCAAAATCCTATGATATAGCAAAAACTCGGCGATACAGAATTAGACTTTTTTTTAAACCCGTAATACAGTGAAGCCACAATAAGTAAACTACAACATAGCAAGGGATCGGGGATTTAGCTCAGCGGCACAGTGCCTGCCAGGCAAGCGCAAGGTCGTGAGTTCAATTCCCGGTACCGGGGAAAAAAACCCAAAAAACAACAAAAAAAAACATAGCAAGGGACGACTGTTCACAAAAAATGTATGTAATATACCTCACCTACTCATTATCCTAGCCTAGGCTTCGCTTTCTTTATGTTGGGAAACAGCATTAGTATGGGTACTTGAAGTACAGATTCCATGGAATGTAGGGCTGGGGATTTAGCTCAGCGGCACAGCGCCTGCCTGGCAAGCGCAAGGTCATGAGTTTGATTCCCGGTACCAGAAAACAAAACAAAACAAAACAAAAAAAGAGAGTAAAGATTACGGGGCTGGGGATTTAGCTCAGCGGCAAAAGCGCCTGCCTGGCAAGCGCAAGGTCGTGAGTTCGGTTCCCGGTACCGGAGAAAAACCAAAAAAAAAAAACAACAACAACCATGGAGTGCTTATTGCTTTTACACCATTGCAAAGCCAAAAATCAGTAAGTTGAGCCATTGTTAAGTTGGGGATCATCTGTACTTAAACACCACTGAACTATATACTTAAAAAACTATTAAGATGGTAAAGCTTGTTGTACTATTTTACCACAATTTTTAAAATGTTAGAAAAAGTGTCTTGGTATTATTTATCTTTTCCTATTGGGAACCATATTCTGTTGACTTACTTATAAAGTTCACTGAAAGTCTGTCATCCTAGCTCCCTCTCATATTCCTTGATCCTCGGAAGGAATCACTTGGAACTTTGTAACAGTGGTATGTTATTTTACACAGGAAGAAGGAGAAACAACCATCCTGCAACTAGAAAAAGATTTGCGTACTCAGGTGGAATTAATGCGAATACAGAAAAAGGAGAGAAAACAGGAACTGAAGCTGCTTCAAGAACAAGATCGAGAACTCTGTGAAGTTCTTTGCATGCCCCAATACAACATTGACAGCACCTGTGTTCCCAGTTTAGATGATTTAAACCAGTTCAGACAACACTTGGCAACTCTGAGGGAGAAAAAGGTATGCTGCCTGCATTCGTACCTCCTCAGAGTCCATTTGATCTTCCTCTGGGTATCTTGTAATAGTTTTTTTGGTTTGTTTTTTTTAAATAGGCATCTAGGCGTGAAGAGTTTCTCAACTTGAAGAGACAGATCATACTGTGTATGGAGGAACTGGATCATACTCCCGACACAAGCTTTGAAAGAGATGTTGTGTGTGAGGATGAAGATGCCTTTTGTTTGTCTTTGGAGAATATTACAACACTACAAAAGCTGCTACGGCAGGTAATGCCTTCCTAAGGCCTGGGATCTCAATAGGATGCAGTATTTTGAAAAACTGACAAATTTTTCTTGAGTGTTTAATAAGGAGCCAGCATAAGTTAAGAGAGTGAGGCAGAAGCCCAGTCTGATGGTGCACACCTATAATCCCCAAACTCAGGAGGCTAAGGCAGGAGAATCACTGCAAGTTTGAAGCCAGCCTGGGCTACAATAGTGAGTTTAAGGCCAAGCTGAACTACATTGTGAGACCTTGTCTCAAGAAACCAAAAAACAAAGAGCATGAGGAAGAATGAAGATAATAATACATGACAGACAGCTTTTTTGTCTTGGTGCTGGGGAAGTGAACCCTGGGTCTTAAATCCAGCATCTCATGGATGCCAGGCAGGTGCTCTGCCACTGACCTGAATGCCCAGCCCTGCTTCTTTTTCTTTTTTTTAACTAATATGTAAATATTGTAAAAAAAGGAAATTGAAATTTTAGATGAAATAACATTAGCCATTTGAATTAGCTTAGTGTGTGTTTATCTTCTTTTTGAGACAGAGTCTCATTATGCAGTTCAGGCTGGGCTTCAACTCACTTTGTAGCCCAGGCTGGCCTCAAACTTGCAGTGATTCTCCTGCCTTAGCCTCCCAAGTGCTAGAATTACAGGTGTGTGCCACCACGCTCAGCCTAGCTTAGTTTTTAATTGAAAAAATACTTCTAAGTTTGAATCCTGTTCCTAAGGTCTGAAATCTGTAACGACTGCCTTACAACTTGTATTTAAAAGGCATAAAAGCATGTCTTGGAAATCTTTCCTGAAAATGCTTCTCTGTATTTCTTGCTGGGAGGCCAAAGGGCCAGCCTTTTCTTTGCTACTATTTTGCTATAACCACTGCCTTTCCTTCCACAGCTGGAACTGAGAAAATCACAGAATGAAGCAGTGTGTGAGGGGCTGCGTGCTCAGATCCGAGAGCTCTGGGACAGGCTGCAAATACCTGAAGAAGAGAGAGAAGCTGTGGCCATGAGTCAAACTGGGTCAAACGCCAAAGTCAGGAAAGCGGTAAGAAACCCAGTGGGTGCTGGGTCAGCAATGTTGTATGAGTATTTCTAGGTCTAGTCTGGTGTCTCTACCAGCCTCTCCCATGGGTCTGCCTGTTCTTAAAGGCGCACATCAAAGCCAGGTATAGTGGGATGTAATCCTCATACTCTGGGAGGCTGAGGCAGGAGAACTGCGAGCTCAAGTCCAGCGTGGGCAACTTAGCCACTTAGTCAAACTCTGTCTCAAAAAGAGAAGTGTTGGGGATGTAACTCAGTGGAAAGGCCCTGAGTTCAATTCCTAATACCACCAAAAAGAAAAAACGTAAGTCAGGCATGGTTGGCTCATGGTTGGCCTATAATCCCAGCTATTCAGGAGGCTAAGGGAAGAGGATCACAAGTTTGAGCCTGGCCTGGGCAACTTAGTGACTTTGAGAGACTATGTCTCAAAATAGAAAAGTTGGGCATATGCCTGTAATCCTAGCACTCAAGTGTTGCCACAAGTTTGAGGCCAGTTTGGGCTACCTTAACTATAGAGTGAGACCCTGTGTCAACTTCCCCACCCGCCCCCCCAAAAAAAAATTAAAAAGACTGGGGCTGTAGCTCAACACAAAGTTCCTGGGTTCAATCCCCAGTACTACCCAAAATATATATATAATAACTACCTCTAAATGTCTTTTTCTTTTAGCTACAATTAGAAGCAGATCGACTGGAAGAATTGAAAATGCAAAACATGAAGAAAGTAATTGAGGCAATTCGAGTAGAGCTGACTCAGTACTGGGACCGATGTTTTTATAGCCAGGAGCAGAGACAAGCTTTTGCTCCCTACTATGCTGGTTAGTATAGAGGCAGTGGTCTTCATGTGGTCTGCTCTCAGGTGTTTTGTAAGCCAAGGGACTCAGTAGGAAATTCTGTATTTCCCCTTAGGAATAAATTTAGCCAACAAAGACAGTGTCACAACCCTTATAATATTATCTCAGTTATTCTTGTTGGGAGATGAGGACACCAAGGCAAACATATGTTGCAGTTTAATCCAGAGTCTTATACAAGAAAGTACCTGACCTTACATTTGAGTCCAAAGGAGTCTGACTTCTTGAGCCCACTGGAATTCTAGACGGCCTGAACAGAAAGATGAAGCTATCCTAACTAAAGTCAGTGAGTGTTTTTAGACATTTCCCATAATCCAACCTCTGTTGGCTGGGGAAAGGTAAAAGGAAGGATATGAAAGAAAACTAAGTAAGACAAGGCAAGAAACAGCACAGATCTTGGAGAACATTTCTTTAATCTAAGCCCTAGTCCCTTAGTACCCCTTGGTTGATCTTGACAAGCCTGGCTTTTATTTTTCATTAGCCAGAGTATATAAACATTCCTATATCATTGTATTATAAGGAAGAACAATCTTATCTCCACTTTAGGGGGGTGTAGTCTTACTGAATTGGGATACTAAACACCAGAGGACGTTCTCTGGAACAGCTGGGCCTATATGTTACAGAGGACTACACAGAAAGCCTGCTGCAGCTGCATGATGCTGAGATTGTACAGATAAAAAACTACTATCAAGTTCACAAGGAGCTCTTCGAAGGAGTCCGGAAGTGGGAAGAGAACTGGAAGCTTTTCTTAGATTTTGAGGTACTTCCCTAGCATTTACATTTTCTGTAGAGTAAAAAGAAATGTTAAGAAACCATACTCCTGTGTAGAGTTGGCGTTGTTTTCTTTGTTGTTTACCAGCTTTATCCTGCTGGTCTGTCTTTATCAGTCAGGTCTCTGTGCAGGAGCATGTAAGAGGAAAGCCCCAAATGAACAGCTTCTAATTGTTGCGGGTAAGTGGAGAGGCAGGCAGGCTCTACATTTCAGCAGTAACCAGGGCCGAGGCTTCCTTTTTTTTTGGAGACAAGGTCTCACTATGCAGTTCAGGCTGGCCTTGAGCTCATTTTGTAGACCAGGATGGTCTGGAACTCCCAACAATCCTCCTGCCTCAGCCTCCCGAGTGCTGGGATTATAGGCATGTACCACCATGCCTGGCTTGGCCAGGCTTCTTGAGCTTGGGCCAATTCCACCATACAGGGGACCCCTCCTGGGGCCATGGGGCTGCTGGAGCTTGGACATAAATGTAGCCACATTCTGGGCAGTGTGCTGGACAAAAGAACAAGGAAGGTACTGCCCTCCATGCCCTGTAAGGGTTCTCCTCAGCTTCTCTTCACAGTGCTTAGCTAGGAGAGTCTCAGTCTCACATGTGGATCTGTTATGGAGGCAGGTGAGAAGAGAGTATGTCAGGGAAGACAGGCACATTCTCTATCATTGCAGCTTTTGCTCTTCTCCTAGAAAATTGCCCAGTTATTGGGTGCATTTGTATACTCTCAATTCGTTTCTTTCTGATAGAGTTGACACAGAGCATTTTAGAGCTGAGGGACAGGGCTAGGTTGAGAAAAGCGAGGCACTAAAGGCCCAAAGTTTTAAGAAGACCTCATTCTCCGGTTCATGCTGGAAGGGGATTTCCTTAATTTATTTTTTTGTTTTGTTTTTTAAGACAGGTTTTCACTGTGTAGTTTAGGCTGGATTTGAACTCACTCCGTAGCTCAGGCTGGCCTGGAACTCTTGGCTTATTCCTGCCTCAGCCTCCCGAGTGCTGGGATTACAGGCGTGCGACTCCATGCCCAGCTGGAAGTGGATTTTCTTTTTTCCCTTTGGTACCAGGAATTGAAGTTAGGCTCTTACGCTTGCCAGGCAGGCACTGTGCCACTGAACTATATCTCTGACCCCAGGAAGGGGATTTTAGAAATCTTCAGTTCCTTCAAGTTTACCAACAGGAAACTAGGACTCCAAGGAGGAGAGAATGGAATGACCTCTTACAGTTCTTTAAGATCAGCCAGCCTCAAGGTGTTCCTTACTTGTAGTTGAAAGCAAAGAGGAAGATTAATGAGCAAAGAGCTAAAGCAGCAGTCTTTTTTTTAAGTAATTAATTCATTTTGTTGGTACCAGGAATCGAACTCATGCTTGCCAGGCAGGTGCTGTGTCACTGAGCTGTATCCCCACCCCACCCCCCTTTTAAAATCAGATTTTACTGGTACATTTTAGAGATACATAATGATCACATTCATCATAGAGAATTTCTACCATTACATGATATAACTTGTTTCTTTTTTTCCCCATTCCCCTACTCTTCCTTCAACCCCTTCTCCCCTCACCATTTACAAAAGCTTTGTTTCCATTTTTTCCTCTTCTCATTGTTTTTTTACTTTTCCCTTCTTTCCTTCCCCTATTCCTCCTCTCCTGTTCCCCTCCCCATTGAACATTTTCTTCCTATTTCACAATCCCATTATACATTTTGGTTCTTATTTACACTTCTGACTTCTTATACCTGAGAAATGATGCAGTATTTACACGTGTCCAATTTATTTCACTTAAGAGTATGGTGCAACCATTTACCTAGGAATGTCTCAAGCATATCCTTCTTTATGGCACAGTAATACTCCATTGTATAAAAAACCCACATCTTTTTTTTTTTTTTTTCTTTTTGGTCTTTTTTATACAGGGTCTCGCTATGCAGTTCAGGCCAGCCTTGAGCTCACTTTGTAGCCCAGGCTGGTCTCGAACTCACAACGATCCTCTTGCCTCAGCCTTCCGAGTGCTGGGACTACACGTGTGTACCACCATGCCATGCAACCCACATCTTCTTTATCCATTCACCAGTTGATAAGCATTTGGCTGTCTCCCAGATTTGGCTATTATAAACTGTGCTGCTGTAAACATAGGTGTTCATATATTTCTGTGATGTGATCAGGAAGATACGCCAGACGTGGTGGCACACACCTGTAATCCTAGCACTTGGGAGGCTGAGGCAGGAGGATTGTTGTGAGTTCAAGGCCAGCTGGACTGCAAAGTGAGCTCAAGCCCAGCTTGAACTGCAAAACGAGACGGTACCTCAAAAAGACAAAAAATAAATAAATAAATAAAGAAGATACCCAGAGGAGGAATAGCTGGTCAAATGAGACCTCCAGTCCTGGTTTTTTTGAGGAATCTCCACATTGATTTCCGAAGTAATTGCACCAATCTGTACTCCCAACAACAGTGGAGAAAGGTTCCTTTTTGCCATCAGCCCCACCATTTGTTACTGGTTGATTTCTTGATAATAGCCATTCTTTCTGGGTTGGGATGGGATTTCAGTGTTGTTTTAATTTGCATCTCTCAAATGATCAGTGATGTTGAACATTTTTTCATATATTTGCTGTTTGTATTTCTTCATCTAAAAAGTATGTATTTATCTCAGATGCCCATTTTTGGATTGGGTCTTTACATTTGGGGGTGTCTGATTGTTTTGAGTTCTTTATATATTCCTTTTTGTTTTGTTTTGTTTTGTTTTGTTTTGTTTTTTTCTCCGGTACCGGGAACCGAACTCACGACCTTGCGCTTGCAGGCAGGCACTTTGCTGCTGAGCTAAATCCCCAGCCCCTCTTTATATATTCCTGACAGTAAACCTTTGTCTGAGGAACAGCTGGCAAATATTTTTTCCCACATTGTGGATTGTCTCTTAAGTCTGTTGGTGGTTTCTCTTGCTGTGCAAAAGCTTTTTAAGAAGATGAGGTCCCACTTGTTGATTCTATGTGACAGTTCCTGTGTGATCAGAGTTTTGTTCATAAAGTCTTTGCCTAAATGTCTTCAAGAGTTTTACCTATTTTATTTTCCAGCAGATTTAAAAGACTGTCTTTCTTCCAGTGAATGTGTTTGGCACTAACGCAGCAATCTTGTTGACATGCCTACGTTTAAGGAAAATGTAAATGAATTCCTGTCCTCTAATAATTGTTTATAGGCTGTAACCAATCAAGCATTCTGAAATAGAGAACAGGTTTTTCACATGTTTAGCCTCCAGATTGCCAAGAATAATTCTATTTGTTCCTATTTTCAGGTAGTGGACTTTATTTAAAATGACAAGTTATATACTCATTACTGTGTGTATACATTATAAAAGATTAGAAAACAGGGGCTGGGGATTTAGCTCAGCAGCACAACGCCAGCCTGGCAAGCGCAACATGAGTTCAATTCCTGATACCGGAAGTAAAACAAAAAACAAACAAAAAAGAGATTAGAAAACAAATAGTTAAAAAGAATGTGAAGCTGTATGTATGTATGTATGTATTTGCAGGCCTGGAGGTCAAACCCAGGGCCTTGAACCTAGGTTTGTTTTTTCTTTTTGAAACAAGGTCTCACTATGCAGTTCAGGCTGTCCTTGAACTCACTTTGTACCCTAGACTGGCCATGAACTCAGTGACCCTTTTGCCTCAGCCTCCTGAGCGGTGGGATTATAGGTGTGCGCTACCACGCCTGGCTGCACCATTGAGCTGTGCCCTTAGCTCTCGTTTTACATTTTTATTTTGTGAGGACTTAGTGAAACCCTTGTTTATAACCCTCCTGACCATGCATTTCAGCTGTATCCTAGGACAGTGTGCCATTAGTAAGGGGGCAAGTAGAGGCACCACAGCAAGCCCGCTGAGTGTAGATCTCTGTCCTCCCTCCACATACCTCCTGTCCGTAGTGGCCTATGGTCGTCTGACACAGAAACCGAAGAAGGGAGCCTATGACACAGTTTGTTACTTTGTATTGTCCTTCAGATGAAGAGGAAATTCTGGTTTCCTGCACCCTAGTGGTTGTTCTTGCGCATGCCTGGGAGTGCCCATGGCTCAGAACGCCACCATTCCTCACCGCTCAGAGTGGACTGGAATGCAGAACTCTTAAAGTCATTTTAATACGATGTATCGGGGCTGGGGATTTAGCTCAGCGGCAAAGCACCTGCCTGGCAAGTGCAAGGTCGTGAGTTCGGTTCCCGGTACCGGAGGGGGAAAAAAAAAATACTGTATCATGAGAACAAGAAATCTTAGCAGAAGTAATTAGTCTGATTATCCTAGCCAGAAGTAAATGAAATGTATTTTTCAGAGAAAAGCTTCAGATCCGAGTCGATTTACAAACCGGGGAGGAAATCTTCTAAAAGAAGAAAAGCAACGAGCAAAACTCCAGAAAACACTCCCTAAGGTAATATTGTTGCTCAGAGTTTTTGATGTTTACCTCCAAGATACTTTATTTTTTGTGGCCCCAGAGATTGAACCCAGGGCCTTCACCGTGGGCATGAGCAGGGTCTCATTAAATCATGGGGCTGGGCTCAAACCTGGGCTCTTCCTGCTTCAGTGTCCCAGAGTGCTGGGATTATAGCGTGCACCCCCACACCTGGTATATCTCACTTTCTGTATGTCCTTTGCTTCGTATTATTTTGTCAGGCTGTCTTTTGTTCTAAAGATATTAACAATATATCGGGCCTTTCATGTAAGCAACTGATTATCAAGATATGTAAGTTTTCTAGGGCTACCATAATAAATTGCCATAGACTAAGTGGCATAATGGACAGAAATGTATTTTGTCACAGTTGTGGAAGCTAGAAGTCTGAGACCAAGGTGTCACTGACAGTTGGGTTCCTAAGGAGACTTTTCTGCTGGGCCAGCTTGCAGATGGCTGCCTTCCCTTCCCTGTGTCTTCACATGATCTTCCCTGTGTGTCTGTCCTGAGACCACTAGCCATATTGGATCAGGGCCCTCCCTGCTGACTGCATTTGAACTCTGTTAGCATTGTAAAGCCCCTCTCTCCAAATACAGTTTACATCTGGAGGCACTGGGGGGTTAGGATGTTAACATGGATTTTGGGGCAATAATTCAGCATGTAATATAATTTTTTTTTTTTTTTTTTTAAAGACAAGGTCTTGCTATGTAGTGCAGGCTGGCCTTGAAGTCAGTGGTCCCCCAGCCTCAACCTCTCGAGTGCTGGAATTACAGGTGTGTATCACCATACCTGGCCAGCATGTAATATAATGCAAGGTTTTGTGAAAGTGCCATACACTTCATTGCTATTTCCTTTTTTTTGAGACAGGAGCTTGCTGTATAGTTCAGGCTGGCCTCAAACTCATGGCAGCTCTCCTGTCTCAGCCTCTCCAGTGCTGATTATAGATGTGCACTACCACATTCAGCCTATTTCCTATTTTAATAATACTGATAGTCACCATTTCATTGAGTTGTATCAGATACTATTTCAAAGTACTTTCACTTATTCAAATAATTATCACCATATACCTCTGTTATTATTTCCATCTTTACAGATAAGGAAACTGAGGTACTGAGAAATTGCCCATTTTTCACAGCTAATAAGTGCTGTATTTTAGATTGAAACCCAAGTAGTCTGATTCCATAGTCCCACTCTCAGTGTACTGTCCAGTTAATGTCAGTGACCTTGCCAGTGTTTCTTCCAGCTTTAGGCATCTAAGCCTCTGTATGCAGACTTCAGCTTTTTGCTTTTTTCTACCTTTGTGTAGGTTGTCAATAAACCATCCTTAGGCTTTGATTTCTGGTCATTCTGAACAATAGCCATGTTTTCCAGCTACCTAAATTTGGGCTAGTAATGCTCTGGGAAGGGAAGAATTGCTGTTTTTAGTTTTTTGTTCTGAAATGGTGTATGTAGCCCAGGCTGGCCTCGAACTCACAGTCCTCCTGCCTCAGTGTCCTATACTGGGATTGTAGGTGCCTAGTGGACTCACTCTCTAGGATGATCATTTCCTTTGGGCTTCACGCCAAAGACCTGAAGAATGAACATGTCATTGTTTCTGGCCTCAGCTGGAAGAGGAGTTGAAGACACGGATTGAAATGTGGGAACAGGAGCAATCAACGGCATTTCTGGTGAATGGGCAGAAATTCATGGAGTACGTGATGGAACAGTGGGAGGCTCACAGACTGGAGAAAGAGCGAGCCAAGCAGGAGAGGGTAAGTGTGCGTGAAAACTGCAGTTTGAGCAGCTCTGCATCTCTGCCAGAGTCAGCGTGGATTTAAGACGAAGCAGCTTCCAGCAGCTCCTGTTAGCTTAGGCTTTGGGGTTTGGCACTGGGTGTCAGCCTTGCTCCTGTTCCCATCCCGGACCTGTCCTACTGGGACTCATCACTGTTGCTTCTGACTTTCACCCAGCAACTGAAGAATAAGAAACAGACAGAGACAGAGATACTGTATGGCAGTGCTCCCCGGACACCCAGCAAGCGGCAAATTCTGACTCCCAGCACGCCCGGCAAAGTGCGCAAGGTAAACACAGCCCTTGTGTGATGCTGCTCATGAGGGAGGGGAGGCCAGGGCTCTTCACCCACTCTGGCCCTCTGGCCTGCTGAGACGGGAATGAGGTTTCCTGTCTTCCAGGATGGGGTCATCCGTGTGAGTAGAGTGCTGTAGTCCACCCCGAGCAGTGGCTCACAGTGACGGTTGAGGAGGAGCCAGCTTTGTTGTATGTCAGCTGTTCAGTCCTTGCACTGAACTCCTAGGGCCACTAACTGCTGACATTCTGTGATGATGAAACTTTGCCAGTTCATCATCCTGCAGTTCCAACAGGTTACCATAGTACTAGGTAAAAGACAACATTCATACTTAGTAAATGGAATTTTTTTAAAGAAACATTTAATACTCCTTAATCTCCAGAGCAGGATGTCAAGTCTTGGCTGCACTAATCAGTCTGTGATAACAATGTAGCTGACAGTTCTTGGCTGGCACTATCTCAGTGGTATGAGGGCTCTGGTTCTGCACATGAAACTTTCAGATCTAAGTTTTGCCCATCCGGCTTGCTGGGATTGCAGGCAGGCATCACTATGCCCAGTGGTTTCGGTGTGTGCATGTCATGAGGCCATCACCACACTGCTGCTGTGGACGTGTGCATGACCCCCAGAGTTCCCTAGTGCTACTCTAGTGTACCCCCTCTTCCTCCCTCGGCCTCTGATGGCAGAGGCTTCCTGGAGCTACAGATTACTTTGCATTTGCTGACATTTTATATAGATAGAATCATACTGTTCTTTTTTGTATAGCTTCTTTCATTCAGTACAATTTTTTTGAGGTTCATGTTATGTACTAATAGTTAATTCCTTTGTATTGTGGTCCAGTATTCCCTTCTGGAATACATCGCAATCTGCTTGCCTGTTCACCTGCTGAGCATTGATTGTTTCTAGCCTTGGCTATTACAGATAAAACTGCCATACTCGTAAGTCTATGGGTGTCTGCTTAGCTTTCTCTTGGTAGAATGTTAGGGTCATACAATAGATGTCTGTGCCGTAAGCCACTGTACCACTTTATAGTCCCATTTCTGGGGTATAAATAGGCTTTGAACATTTTCATGAGTTTCCTCAAAGCTGTGCAGTATTAAACCTAGCAGGCTCTTTAGCAAGTAGACTTATCTTCCCTGGACTGCTTCCTGTACTCGTGTCTCTTCAGGGGAGATGGGTTGCAGGTCCCGCTGAGCGTGTTACCTCACATCGGTAATGTCTCTTCTTCTCAGCTCAACACTACCGTCATATCCAATACTGCAGCCAACAGCAGCATTCGTCCTGCCTTTGGGGGAACAGTCTACCACTCCCCCATGTCTCGACTTCCTCCTTCTGGCAGCAAGGTTAGTATACTGTGTACAAGTGCGTCTCCATGCCCTCTCTGTTTATCCAGAGGCTCCACCTATTTGGTCTCATCTCCAAGATCCCTACGTTCAGTTTTCATTGAGATGCTGAGTTGATGGATATAAACCAGATAATCATTAGATAATGATCAAAAACTAACGAAATTTTTTAAAAAAGTCACTGAGCCTCCTCACTCCTACCACAGGAAGCACTGGGTGGTGTTAGGGACAGTGAGGATCAGGTGGTACTGAGCTAGGTCCCCCTGGATGTGGGTTCCAGCTCAGTGACACTGGGTCACTGGATCTAGTTAGGTATCAAAAGAAGAGAGATGGAGACTCTGCTAGAAAAGGACCAGCCTTGCAAATTAGGATGTGTTCAGGATAGGTGTTATAGGTCATGAAGAATTCATGTACTTTTTCCCAAACCAAAAGCCTGGGATTACAGACATATACATTATATAATATGGTGCTATAGTTGGCTGTGGTGGCACATGCCTATAACGCCAGCATTCTGGGATGCTGAGACAGGAGGAGCTCACAAAAGGTGTGGGGGACAGTATGGCTCTACATGAAGGCCCTGGATTCAGTCCCCAGAACTGCAAAGAAAAGCCATACAAAAACACCTTGATCACTGGAGTTTTGCATGTTATGTGTGCATTCATCATAAAGAGATACATGGATTGGGGCTGGGGATTTAGCTCAGCGGCACAGCACCTGCTTGGCAAGCACGAGGTCGTGAGTTCGATTCTCAGTACCAGGGGAAAAAAAAGTACATGGATCTATTTTTCCTTTCTGCAGCCAGTCACTTCCACCTGTTCAGGAAAGAAAACTCCCCGTGCCAACAGACTTGGGGCCAACAAGGAGAACCTGGAGCTTAGTGGAAGCTTCCTGAGCGGTGGGTACCCTGGCTCAGCCCCTCTCCAGCGCAACTTCAGCATTAATTCTGTTGCCAGCACCTATTCTGAGTTTGCGGTAATTCACCTTTCCTAATATCTACCAGTCTCTGGGGAGCACACAGTTGGGGCAGAGTGGGGGTCTCCCTCGGTCACCCAGACTAGTCAGGACCACTCCCTCAGAGGCTGAGAATCCCTTTCCTGCCGTGACCATGGTGTGGGTATGGCTGGCTTAAGCAGGGTGTACAGGATGGAAGTTGGCAGCAGCACTGGATATTTAACCTGGATCCTTCTGCTTAAAATAAAACCATTCCCTGGCTAGAGGAGGTGACGCGCTATTCACTACCCTGGTGCTCTCTTGGTGGAGTTCTTGGTAACTGTCTTAATTCTTCGTCCTTAGAAGGATCCATTCCTCTCTGACAGCTCTACTGTTGGGCTTCAGGTCTGTATGGCGACCCTTGCATGTCCCGTGACCCCCTTTTCCAATCTGATCTGTTGTCTGCTGGCTTCATTCCCACCTGGGCACAGGGCTACACTAACTCATAATCTCAGCTGTATTGTCACAGAATCTTTCTTACAAAAAAGGCAGGGATTCCTGTTATGGACTTCAAAAACAAGTATCTTATGTTCTGAATGAGTAAGCTGGGATTAATAAGAAAACTTGTTCAGACTTGAATTGGATTCTCAGCCCCACCTAAAGATTTAGGGAAAGATTTTTTTATATCTACTGTTTCACAGAAGAAAATCTTCACCCTCCTCAATTATGACATCCAAGACCTAGAGTATGATGGAAAGAATACAGGCCCCATCACGTGGGGAGGGGAGCCCCAGCTGTGTGCTGCTTGCAGTGAGGGTCTTGGCCTGTTTGCTGACTGTGTCCTGGAGTATATGCCTTACTAACCTCCTGGGGCTGATCACCAACTTCCTGTCTGCCTCGGCTGGCCACTGCTTATTTCCTCGCCTGTGTCTGCGTCCTGAGCTGCTGAGCGTGCCTAAAGCACTGGAAAGTAATTTTCCAGCCTGGTCTTCACCTTGTTGTGTCCTGCTCTGCATCTGCTAACACCCACCTATGGTGCCTTTTACTAGAAAGCTGTGTTGTCTCTTCCCTCAGTACCCTCCCAGTGAGAGATGAGGCCACCCTGTCACTTGAGGGGCTACTGAGTTAAAGCCTAGATTGGTTGTCATGTTGTCGTGGGGTAGTTTGGAGCATGGCAACTAGCTTTATCTTGGGCACCCACCTTTTCCAAGTTACATACCTATAGAAGTGGAAGTATGTCACTCGGGCCCAGCTTTCTCACATGTGCTTGCTCAGCCAAGGCCCATTTCATCTGTTTGTGGGTAAATGTACTCCTGAGGGCTTCTTCTGGTTCTGGTTGCTATGGCTGATAACCTCCACCAGCAGCACTGAAGTCACTAACCCTCACCTCCACTAACACCTTTCTCAGTGGTCATTCACGCTCCATCTTCTGCTTCTGTACCATGTGCTCCAGCATGAGATCAGATCACCAGCAGGTTACAAGGCCCTCAGCCCCAGGGATTGGTAGATAAATTGGGCAGCCCATTATTTTGTAAAGGGCTCAAGAAATCAAAGCTTGTTGTTGCTCACCTAGCTTACAACTCTGAGAGTAGCTTCGTGAAGTGGAAGGGGTGTGTCTTGGGTGAGGTTTTAACAGAGGGGCCGGCTGAGGAAAGGGGTCAGGGCCATGTGTGACTAACAGCATGGTGCTGAGTTCCTCGCCTTCTAACATGGACTATGCTGTGTAGGGGCCTCTGTTTCACAGAAACTGTTCGCAGGACTTTTGCTGACACTAAACCATGCCTAGAAAGGAGGGCGTGCAGGGTAGGGGTAGTGCTGCCACTAATGTTGTTTGTTTTTAACAGCGAGAACTTTCAAAGGCTTCTAAATCTGATGCTGCTTCTCGAATCCTCAATTCAACCAACATCCAGTCCTGAGAAGCCCTGACCAGGCAGCCAGCTGGACAAATGATGGGGGGGGCTGGAGTTTTTCTTCAGTTTAACTCAAGAAATACCTTAAAGCTTAGTTATAGCAGTAAGTACAAATTTTAGCATCTGGGAGCTAACTTCCTTCTCTGCCCCCTAACTGTACTTCGTGAAGCATGACTCCAGGGCTTGTTGCATTTCACTATTGTGTAGGAAAACGACTGACTGTGCCCAGCCTTGTGGTGTGGGCTGTAAGTCTGGCTTGTATACATGTAATTAGCAATTAATATTTTTTTTTAAATCTAGGCACGTCCAATTAATGCTATCGCTCTGATAGCTTTGCTCTCACTCAAAGGCCTGTCCCCATCACACTGAGGAGATCTATGTATGTCAGCATTTGGGGTGGCCTGACCTACTGCCAAAGAGTGACTGGTGGCTGGGAGCACCTTTGTTAAATTGTGTACAGCTTGTTACAGAGTGCAGTCCCTGTGGGGGTGAATGCACACACTGTCTGAAGTGGCTCCTTGGGTCCAGTCCCCACCTGTGCCCGCTATGCCTGAGTCCTACCCCTGTAGCTGCGGCCAGGTGGGAATGCTGCCTCAGTGGGAGGGGCTGCGCCTGCTGTGGAGACCCGCACCTTTGCACAGGTCACTACCGGGGCTTGTCCCCGCAATAGCGTCTACTCTGAGGCTCTCTCTACCTGCTCTGTCTATCACTATGCTCTCCCAAACACTATTATTTATTCTTCTCTGCCTGTGACACATCAAAATGGTTCTCAAAAGCTTACCAGTGTGGACTTGCTCTGTAACTGTCAGACATGCTGTTTATATTTTAAAAACAGGATATGTGTACATTTGACTAAATTCTTAAAAATAAATTTGAAAAGTATACACGTTTTATTTTTTTTAAGTATACACACTTTAAAAGATATTATTGTGGTGTTTTTCAATTTTTGGTTTCTAAAAAGATACGTAAGAACCAGGCCTGGTGGTGCAGGTCTGTAATCCTAAGCGCTTGGGAGGCTAGAGCAGGAAGATAACTGCGAGTTCAAGGCCAGCCTGAAATACATAGTGAGACTCTATCTCAAAAAAAAAAAAAAGGAAAACCCAGCACTTGGGAGGCTGAGACAGGAGGATTGCCATGAGTTTGAGGCCACCCTGAACTACATACCAAGACCCTGTCTCAGAAAAAAAAAAGAGGTACAAGATATTTTTTAGTTTGGAATATTTTTATATTCTAAATTAAGAATGTTTAAGAGAAATAACCTCCCAAGTAGCTGGGGGTACAGTTACGCACTACTGTGCCTGGCTACTTTCTTCCTTGGTGGTGTTGGGATCAAATCCAGGCCTTGTTTGTGCTGGGTAAGTGCTCTATCCAAGCCTCCTACCTTCTTCATTTGTGACAGGGTCTTGTGGAATTGCCCAGGCTGAGCTCGATCTTGTGATCGTGCTTCAGGCTCCCAAGCGGCTGGGCTTACAGGTGTGTACCACCATGCCTGGTTCAAAAAAGATACTTTTAATAGAATTAAAAGCTGTCAAATGGGAGAAGATATTTGCAAATCATGTCTTACTTGCCGTGACCCTTAGATCCAGGATATATAAAGAACTTCCAAAATTCAGGACAAACAAATAGACTAACAGGAGGGGGAAGGCTACAGCCTCTATCAGAACAAAACCTATCATAAGTTCTGTGATTAATGCAATGTCATATAGACGCAGAGAAGAGAATAAAGGCTCGGACAGAGACTCAGCTAAAAGGGATGTTAGTTTATAATAGATTTGCTTGGGCTTAGGCTTTCATACGTTTACTCTGTGGTTGGCCAGCTCCATGCTTTGAGGCCTGTGGTAGAAACGGCAGAAGGGTGTGGCGGAGGAAAGCTGCTCACCTCACGGCACCCAGGACATAGAAGGGAATGAACACGAAGGCCACGCCCCAAGTGAGCCGCCCACTGAGCTGTGACCTCAGCCATACATTAATCCTCTGACAGAGTCAGGGTCCCTGTGATCTGATCACTTCCCAAAAGCCTCATCTCCAAACACGGGAGCTTTTGGGTGACATTTTAGATCCAGGCCCTAACAATGACCATGGCATTTCAGACCCCCAGGGGTACTGGTAATTACAAAAAAAAATTAGACACATGCCTAATACCATATGCAAGAATACACAAGTGGGTCAAGGATTTAAATATAAAAATGAAATGGCAGGCCAGGCGTGGTGGTGCACCCCTGTAATCCCAGCACTCAGGAGGCTGAGGCAGGAGGATCGTTGCAAATTCGAGGCCAGCCTGGGTTACAAAGTGAATTCAAGGCTAGCCTAAACTACAGAGTAAAACTGTCTCAAAAGGACCAAAAAAAAAAAAAGCAGGCCACAATAAGTTTGGACACAAAAACCTTTGCAGGGGAAATCAAATATCAAAGTCAAAGGACAGCTGACAAAGCTGGAAAAATACTTCCAAAATCTGTCACAAAAGAATGTCATAGTGTCCCAAAGAATCTATAGAGCCAAGCACAAATCCCTCTCTGCACATGATGACCGCCATGCTACCAGAACCTTTCTGATGTTACTGTGTTGAACCTCTGGCATCTACTGAAAGGTTTTCGAGCTGGGTGCAGTGATACACACCTGGAGTCCAGCTACATAGGAGGCTAAAGAAGGATCACAACAAGTTTGAGGCCAGCCTGGAAGACACAGTTAATTTTGGTCAATTTTAGTCGTTTTTTTCTCCACACCCCGCCCCCCGTACCGGAAATCGAACTCTCGACCTCACGCTTGCCAGGCAGGCACTGTGCTGCTGAGCTAAATCCCCAGCCCCCCAATTTTAGTCTTTAAGGCAATAGTAGCTATCCCACTCCATGGCCCCTAGACAGGAAGCCACACTGCTGAAGCAGACTGTACCCAGCTTGTGAGAAGCAGGGTGGCCAATAAAGGGCCTGCCTTCCCAATACCAGGGCCTGTAGTCTGGTAGAGACATAGAAAAAGAGGTGGTCCATTACCATAGGCCCTTGCACTACACTGCGGACTCCTCAGGCTGAAGTAGATTCCAAAGACTTAAGGGCCTCGTGTTCCTCCATATTGCTTTTTCCCCTTTGCAAGCCAGACATTCAAAGACTAGGACATGCCAGAGCAAGCACACAGACAGCTGAGTTAATGGCTACTGCACATAGCCAGGGAGAGGGGCAGGCTCAGAAGGAAACCTCAGGAGACCTCCAGTTATACCTCAGGCCAATTCCCTACACACAGCCTACAACATAGTGATTTTAAAATGCAAACCCTGTAAAAGAGTCTCATTTTCAGACTTAAGACATTATAGGATACAAATATCTAGTTTTCTACAACAAAATCACAAAGCATCTAAAAAAACAGGAAGTGGGGCTGGGGATTTAGCTCAGTGGCATAAGCGCTTGCCTGGCAAGCCTGCGGTCATGAGTTCGATTCCAGGTACCAAAAAAAAAGAAAAAATCAGAACATATCTTTGAGAAATAACAGATTGTGGACCTGCTCAATAAAAACTTCTTTAACAACTGACTAAAATGCTCAAAGAGCTAACGGAAGATATGGACAAAATATTTAAAAATATAAGTACCACACGCTAACCAACTGCACCACTGGAGCTTCAAAATATTACAAAATAAAGCCAGGCATGGTGGCACACACCTGTGATCCCAGCATTGAGGAAGGAAGATTGCAAGTGTGAGGCCAGCCTAGGCTCAAAATGAGTCCCTGTGTGAAAAAACAAAAAGGGCTAGTGATGTAGCTCTGCACTCACTGGGCTCAACTGCTCCCAAACTGGTAATACCAAAAGAAATCTAAATGACAACTGACCACCAAGTGTAGTGATCCACACCTATAAACCCAGCACTCATGAGGCTGAGGCAGGTGGACATGAGTTTGAGGCTGGCCTGGACTACACAGTGAGAACCTATCTCCAAAAAACAAAACCTGATAGATACTTTAAAAACATATAACTATCAAAGGATTTATACCTAAAATATATAAGAATACAAATCACTAAAAACAAAAAGTTTTAGTAAGGACGGAAGACTTGAACAAGATAAGTTTTTCTGGGGAGGGGAGAGGGTCTCACTATGCAATTTAGGCTAGCTTCGAGCTCACTTTGTAGCCCAGGCTGGTCTTGAACTCGCAACGATCCTCCTGCCTCAGCCTCCCAACTGCTGGGATTACAGACGTGCGCCCCCACTCCCGGCTGAACAAGATACTTGACAACAGAAAAACTCCCAACTGCCAGTAAACAAATGAAAAGTTGTCCAGGCCCACTAGAACTTGGGGAATTGCAAATTAAAGCTGCTGGGTATCCATCTGATGTCTGGTCTGAGCTGCAGCAAACTGCAAACTGCTGCTGGTCCAAATGCACGTAGGAAAGTTAAAGCTGTCTGCCATGAATGTCTGCAGAACCCATGCACATGTAGTGAATGAGGTAGAGACAACAACAAAAAAGAACCATCAACGAAAATACAGAGCTTAAGCTATATTCACACAGTGGAGCACCTCACTGCATACAAATGAGTGAACTTCAGGATACAACACATGGATCACGCAACAATGCATGGAAATGTTAGACAAAAGGAACAGACATAAAAGCCAGGTTGGTGGCGCATGCCTGTAATCCCAGGTCACGAGTTGAAGGTCAGCCTGGGCTACACAGCAAGACCCTGCCTCCAAAACAAAATGACATACCCACAATGACTGTTTACCTGCTGTTGAGAAGCAGGCGAACTACTGTACAGTGAGTGCCCAACTTATAACATTCCAGTTGCGAACTTTCACAGGTGTACTGTATAAAGCTCACTCTGTCAGACTTAGGAACAAATCTGACTTATGAACGTTTTCCAGAACGGAACTTGTTTGTAAGTCAGAGTACGTACAAAAGTGTTAAAGTTCTGAATTAAACAAGGACGGGGGCTGGGGATTTAGCTCAGCGGCACAGCGCCTGCCTGGCAAGCACGAGGTTGTGAGTTCGATTCCGGGTACCGGAAAAAAAAACCAACCTGAATTAAACAAGGACATGAATGGCAATAGATGACCTTAGTGTTCCCCAGGCTGCCATACTTCACAATCACCTGGGGGACACCCCCGAGGTCCAGCCCAGGGTCTGCGCTCTGCAGTTCCCCGCTGCACGGTGGTGGGGAGAGGCTGGGCTGCGACGGGCAGGGGCAGACCAGGGCCTTGGGTGCCGGCATGGGTTTCCCCGGCCAGAGCGGGCGCGTCACAAGTGTTAGCTTTGTCATTTTTAATATACTGTACATTTGTTTTATGTACTTTTCTATGTATTTTACAACTTGAAAAACACATGTAAATACACATCAGCTGTTCCCATTCACAGCATACACGTACGTGTTCCAGGGCCCACAGGTGACAGTTTTTACTTGGAGCTGTTTATCTACAAAGTATTCCACGCGGCAGGGCCGGTCCAAGCTGGCACTGTCCCCGTGGCCGAGCTGTCCATATTTACCTAAAAGCCAAACGAGCCCCTTTGGCATCCTCTTTCCAGAAGCAATCCCGTCCTCTGCCCCGCTGCTGCTCTGTGAGTCCAGGGGCCCACACCCACAAAGCTCCAGGGCCAGGCAGACCCAGGGGTGGAGGCAGGAAGAGCTTCCCCTAGGCTTTGCTGCTACTTGCATCTTGAACCATGCCCAGGCCTCAGACTGCTGCTCTATTTTTTCTCTAACCAGAGCCAGAATGACAGATGTTTTGTAAGTGCTGGCTAAATGCCCCAGCAGAAAGGCACAGTGGGCAGTACTGACGTCATCTTATTTCTCCATCATCTGATCTTGGACTTTCTGAGTGTGCCTAGATCTATTCCCCTCGGGGGGAGGACACAGCAGCATTTCAATTCAGTTCCTGTCCATGTTCACCCAAGGCCCCCACTTCCTGTAGCCTGTGGTTCTGTCACCCACCCTGTCCTCCCAGGTCTTTCCTCTCCTTGGTTTAAGGGTCACATAAAACAGTCCTTTTAGCTGGAAATGGTGGTGCACACCTGTAATCTTAGCACTTGTGAAGCTGAGGCAAGAGGATTGCTGAGTTCAAGGCCAGCCTGAACATAGCAAGACCCTGTCTCAAAAAACAAAACAATCCTTATACTTACCCCAGCCCCAGGTGTAGAGCTCTCCTGTTCCTGCAACCAAAAAGGACGGTACAAAACAGTCACTACGGTTCTTGGCAAGGCATCCATTTGGCCTGGCTGGCCCAAGCCCCAGCCAGCATGTTCCAACCCCAAGACACAGGCTTGGTGGAGAGCAGCCTCCTCTCTATGGATGTCCAAGTACAGGTAGTGTGGTAAGAGAGCAAGCTGACAGACAAGTCTGTCCCCTCTGTCACCTATGGGCCTGCATCTCACAGCTCCTGAGCTAAGCCAGTGTGGGAAGCTGTCTGAGCCCTGCCTGGAGCCCTGTTTGAGCTGATGGAGAACATCAGCTTCCCCAGCAGGAGCAGCCTTCTGAGCCACTGCTAAGCTACAGGGGCACAGAGGCTAGATCTGATGAGTGAGGCGGCTACTCAGCACGTATTAAAGATGCCTTGACATAGGCTCGTTTGTGGGGTTTGACAGTCCTGGGGATTGAACCCAGGGCCTTTGCACTGAGCTACACCTCTAGCCCTTGTTGTATTTTTCATATATATATATATATGGGGGAGGGGTACCAGGAATTGAACTCAGGACCTTACACTTGCCAGGCAGGTGCTTGTGCTGCTGAGCTATATCCCCAGCCCATACACACACACACACACACACTTTTTTTTGGTCTTTTTGAGACAGGGTCTCTATGTAGTTCAAGCTGGCCTTGAACTCACTTTGTAGCCCATGCTGGTCTTGAACTCACAATGATCCTCCTGCCTCAGCCTCCTGAGTGCTGGGATTACAGGTGTGTGCCACCACACCCGTCCCTGTATATATATTTTTTGAGGCAGGGTCTTACTGTGTAGTTCAGGCCTTCAAGTTGCTATGGAGCCCAGGCTGACCTCAAACTCTTGGCAATCCTACTGTCTCAACCTCCTAAATGCTGGGATTACAGGTATGTGCCACCATGCCCAACCCATATTTTTTTCTTTGAGACAAAGTCTGGCTAAATTGCTAAATTGTCCAGGTTGGGCTCTGAAACAGATCCTCCTGTTTTAGCCTTCCAGAGTGCTGGGATTATAGGCATGCTGGGAGTATAGCTCAGTTAGCATGTGCAAGGCCTTGGGATTGGTCCCCAGCACCAAAAAAAAAAAGACTTTTTTTTTGATACCAGGAATCGAACTCAGGACCTTGTACTTGCCAAGCAAGGCACTGTGCCACTGAGCTATGCAGTTCAAGCTGGCCTTGAGCTCACTTTGTAGCCCAGGCCGGTCTCAAACTTGCAACGATCCTCCTGCCTCAGCCTCCCAAGTGCTGGGATTACAGGTGTGCACCATCACACCTGGCCCAATTTTTTAAATTGCCACCATCTTCCTGCCCCAACCAGAGTACCACCTTGCTCCATCCTGAACCAGCCACCTGTCCCCACTCACGTGTCACCACAGCTGTGTGCCGGGATCCACAGCTGGCCAGGACTGCGTCTGAGCTCAGGGGAAGGTCCAGCAGGGCTGGGAAGGGCTGGACAGCTATGAAGGGGGCAGGGGCTCCATCCTCGGTCCCGGCTGCTCTCTCCACTTGGGAACCATCTTGGTTCAGCCCTGTGTCGGGGGATGGTTTCGAGGGTATGTAACACTGTGCCAGACTTCTTCACATCCTTTACTACAATGCCTCTGCGCAGCACCCTATTCTCCAGCCCTCCCTGCTGCTCTCAACTCCACTCACAGGAAGTGACGGAGATGGCAGCCTTGAAGGCTGTGCGGTGCGAACCAGCACTGGTTGCCAGCGCTCCACCTGGAAGGGGTCTGAATCCCGTGGTGTGTCCAGGTGACAAGGATGTCACAGGCCCCTCCTGAACGTGGGAGTCGGGAATGACTCCCACGCAACCGGGGGGAGCCGACCCTCACCTTCCCCTGTGACTGTCCTCTTGTCCTCTGCCAGGCTCCTTGTGGGCAAGGCCAGCTGCCCTGATTCATTCCAGCCCCAGATATAAAGGTCCCCGGTCTCTGAAAGGCATCCAGGAAGTAGGCTGAGCCCTCCTCCATCCCTCCATGCTGCCCCAACCCTCCGGTCATCAGCTCCTGGAGACAAATATGGCCTGCAGCCGGCCAGGCAAAGGCACCCGCCCCTCAGGCCCCTGGCTTTCTTGGCTCAGGCTCCCTGCCCTCAACTCCACTGGTCGCCCTTTACTTAAGGAACTCCCTTGCTGGGCCACCTGTCTTTTCTATTTTCAGTCTTATGTTGCTAAACTGCGCCCCGTCATCGATGGAAGTTCCCCAATGCACCCCTCATGGGGCAGCCTGTGCCTCCACCCCTGGTCCCCCCAGGCTTCTGATACCCAACACAGCAGGGTCCAGCTGCAGGAGCTCAAAGGGCTCCATCTGTGCCGAGGTTTTAAGCACTTTTCAAACAGTACAACCATTCAGTTCTCACCACAGCCCTGCGAGGAGCTCTCCGACTGTGTGACCATCTCATACAATAGCCTCACTTTACTTGAGAGAGAGTGGGGGCGGAGGGTAAGAACCAGCCCGAGGTCACCCAGCACTGAGGATCTGGAACTCAGAAGCATGGACAGTGGCCTCCAACTTCTGCTCCAAACTCGAGGCCTGAAGCCCCTTCTGGACCGCGGGTGTGCCACTTCCACGGCCGGGCTGTTTCTAGCTCTCCCCGCTCCACCTCGCCCAGCACTCGCCCACCCCGCGGCCCTCCCAGGCCCCAGGCAGGAGACAGGGGTGCGGCGGGGGAGAGGGGGAGGTGGTGGCTAAAGCCCCAGGGGTGCTAAGAAGTGGGTGCACCGGCCCGAGACAGCGCCCACCCCCACCCCCTCTATGAGGGCCCCAAGTTCAGGAAAATGCTGCATCTGTCGCCTGCCATACACCTCCTCCCGCACTCGCCACCTCCGCCCTCCCTGTAGGCCTCCTGTGTGCCCTCCGCCCCGAAGCCATCTCCTCCCTCCTGGTGTGCTGCCCTTAGAATTCCTTGCTCCTTGGGTAGAAAGGCAGCCCTGGCTGCTGACAGGTGACAGCGCTCATGATCAGTAAGAGGAGAGGACAGAGCTGCCGCAGTCCAGGACAGAGGGTGGCGGCCGAGGCAGGAAGGGCACCTCAAGCATGGACCCACTGCTGTGGGGCTTGCGGGAAGGAAGAGCAGGAGCTGGCCTGGAGCGGCGAGCTGCGCGGAGGAGCCTGGGTCACTCACCGCTCACGCACACGGAGTGCCAGCCCCCCGCCGCCACCTGGGCCATGGGCAGGCCCTGCAGCGCCTCCAGCAGCCTTGGCTCCAGCTCCGCCTCCAGCGTCCCATGGCCCAGCTGTCCGTGTCTGAGCAACGAAGGCCCAGTCAGCGGGGCGCACGGGAGGGTCCCCTCCTCGACCTCTCTGCGCCCCGCCCCGGCGGCCTCACCTGCCCCCGCCCCAGGAGAACACCTGGCCGGCAGCGTCCAGCAACAGCGCATGCTCGGCGCCCAGCTCCAGCCGGCGCGCGCGCAGCTCCGGGGCCAGGCCGCGGCGGAAG